TTCCACATAAATAGAGTTATTTTTATTTTTTATTTTATTTATTTATTTACTTATTTCTTTATTTTTAAATTTTTTTGTTGGTCATGGGGCTTGAAATCTGGGCCTGGGTGCTGTCCCTGAGCTCTTCAGCTCAAGGTGAGCACTCTACCCCTTGAGCCACAGTGCCACATCCGGTTTTCTGATGGTTAATTGGAGATAAGAGTCTCCTGGACTTTCTTGCCTGGCCTGGCTTTGAACCTCGACCCTTACATCCCAACCTTCTGAGTAGCTAGGATTACATGCATGAGCCACTGGCGCCTGCTGATAAACTTGGAGCCCCATAACTTGCCTTTGAATTTGTAGGCTTGGGTACACTCTGCCTAATATTGAGCATACTCAAACTCATTTGTTCCCATCTGTATTTCAGGGTGGATGGTACCCCACACTTCTCATTTGCTTTTCTTCATTTGACTCCTAGCAGGGTCTGGACTCTCCTCTTCTCAGGAATTTTGCTTCATAAAAGAACTGTACCTCCTCAGGACAGGAGGAAACGGGGTTGGCTTTATCTGGCAACAAGTGGCACAGTCTGCAGAAGTGACATCTAGGACAGACAGATTGATGTCCCATCATGGTCTGCACTTCTAAGCATCTGAACTCAAGATCCTAAATTTGATTGATAGGAGACCCTAGACCCAGTTCCTCCCTCTGCTGAGCTGGAACCACACCCACTCAGACCTGGACTCTCATTTCACTGTTACTCCTGAGAAAGCTATGAGGGCTGCTTTCTGATACTTATGTGTGACCCTCATCTATGGCAAAAGATTCTGTGGTGGTCTCACCAAGAGAGGTTTGGTGGCTCCAGTACTCCGGTGGCTGCAGATTACCCACAACTTGGGTAATCTTCCCTCTATGGACCTGGGTCAGTGAGCCTCAGAGCAAGGTCTTGACCATCTTGAGACCACCAAGGTGGAAATATGGTTCAGTCCCGTCTTGTTAGAGTTGTTTGGGAACTCTCTGGGCTGACAGGTCATGGATCTCAAGGCCCCATTGCTCTAGGTGTTTTCCTCCCTTATTCAGGCTCCTTCACTTGATATGTCAGAGACTGAGATTCCCCTCTACTGACTTCCCTAGTGCAAGATACAAAAGTCTCTGAGAACCTTGGAAAAAAACAGAGTAGATGCCCAGGCTGATAACTCTGCCTGGCATATTGTCCCTTTACTTTTTCTACTAAGAGTATGTATGTTGGCTCCTGTTTTCTTTAATGAGGAAATACTTCATACCAGGGTCCCTGCCTCCCAGGAGTTATGAAAGATGGGGAATTCTTAGTTTTGTGTTTTGTATTTTATTTTTTTCCAGTACTGGGCCTACAAAAATCTGAGTATCATACTTGCTCATCTTGCTTCCTCCCCTGGTGCCGTGACACTTGAGCCATACCTCTAGCCTAGCTTTTTACTAGACATTTTGGAGATGAAGTCTTGTGGATTTTCTGCTCAATATGGCTTTGAAATGTGATCCTCCAGATTTCAGCTTCCTGAGTAGGTAGAATTAGAGGTGTGAGTAACTGCGGCCTGGCATAAGACGAAGAATTTGTAACACAAGAAAGCTCCTCGGGACAGATAAAAAAGAGGGAGAAAGCACATTGATCTATTCACTTTCTTTAAAGTTAAAAAATACCTTTCTGTTGGGTGCTGATGGCTCATACCTGTCACACTAGCTACTCAGAAGGCTGAAATCCATAGGATCTCAATTCAAAACCATCCCTGGGAAGAGAAGTCTACCAGACTTCATCTCCCATTAATCAGCAAAAACCAAGCTGGGATCTATAAAACTTGAGAGTAGGAATGGGAGGGGAAAATAGAGGACAACAATAGGAGAGGTGACATTAAGAAGCATTGCACTAAAAATGTGACTTATAAAATTGTAATCTCTTTGCACAACTACCTGATAATGATGACGATGATAATGATGATGATGATGATGATGATGATTTAAAAAAAACAGGCTGGAGGCATGACTTAAGTGGCAGTATCAGTTATGAAGCAAACCCAGAAATCTCAAGGTCCTGCATTCAAACTATGGTACTGAAAAAAGGTTAACTTTCTAAAAGAAAAAGCTGTCTAAAATATCTATCTATAACATATCTATATGTAACATATATAATATATAACATATAATCTTTTGAGGTTATCTGACTTTGCATATGTAGACAATCATGTTGTCACAATATTTTCTTTCTTCTTTCCTCTCGATTTCTTTGGTATTATTATTGTTTAATATATGAATTCTAATCTATGGGATTGGACAAAGAATCCTTCATTTTTATCCCTGAGATACATTTGAGAATAGTGAGAATAAGAATGAAATAAGAATCGGGAGCCAGTGGCTCATGCCTGCAATCCTAGCTACTCAGGAGGCTGAGATCTGAGGATTGAGGTTCAAAGACAGCCGAGGCAGGAAAGTCCATGAGACTCTTATCTCCAATAAACCACTAGAAAACTGGAAGTGGCGCTGTGGCTCAAGCGGTAGAGCACTCGCCTTGAGCTGAAGAGTGCAGGTACAGCGCCTAAGCCCAGAGTTCAAGCCCCATGACCGACCAAAAAAGAAAAAAGAATGAAATAAGGAGGTAGGCGCCGGTGGTTGATGCCTGTAATCCTAGCCACTCAGGAGGCTGTGATCTGGAGGATCAAGGTTCAAAGCCAGTCCAGAAAGAAAAGTGTGCAAGACTGCATCTCCAAAATAATTAGCAAGAAGTCAGACTAGAGGTGTGGCTCAAATTGTAGAGCACCAGCATAGCAATGAAATCTGAGCAAGCGAAGATTCTGAATTCACACACTGGTACCAGCAACGTACACACACAGATACATACATGCATGCACATATATGTATGTGTGTGTGTATATATATATGGACACAAATCCAGCTTCCAGTTGGGAGAAATGGATTAACATGTCCTTTACATTTAAGCCATAGTTATTGTCATAAATCCTTTACTTACAAGCTATGTGAAATTGTTCATATTTTCCAAATATGAGCTTTATGCTTTTCATCAGTGAAGTGGATAAGCTTTGTCTTATAATAATGTTTAAATGTGTATTATGTATGGGATGTTAAAAAAAAGTATCAGCTGTTAAGCCCAACTCACACCTGTAATCATAGTTGCTCAGAGATCTTCAAAGCCAGCCTGGGCAGAAAAGTTTACAAGAGTCCATCTCCAAAATAAACAGCAACAAGTAGGACTAAGGTTGTGGGCTCCAGCGATAATGTGTTAGCCTAGCACATACAAGGCCCTGAGTTCAATCCTCAGCTCTTCAAAAAACTGTACTAGTTCTTGTTATGCTTGCTAGGGTTAACTTGTCCCTTGATGTTAAAAATCCACTACACTGGTATTATTTTTAACCTAAAAATGTAGATATTTTGCTATATTTAAAAGCAAATAAAACTTATAAAATGCTACTTAGCACTTTATCCTTCCCTCTTGTGTGATCAATCAATCAATCAATGACAGTGTAAGGTAGATATCCTCAGCTGATGTAATACTAAGCTTCTAAAATGTATTTCCAGGACCATAAACTTTGCCTTCTTTCAGCTGCCTGTTCTATCTATACTGATTCTATTTTCTCCCATTTAACCATCACTTAGATTGTAGACCTAGCCTAGAGGTTGCCAAATGATTCCACAGGGGGTAAACTATTGAATACCTTCATTTCTGTGTGCCAGTAATAGAGCTTGAACTTCAGGCCTTATGCTCTCCCTCAGCTTTTTTCACTCATGACTCTACTACTTAGCCCATGCCCCCACCCTTGCCTTTTGCTTATTAATCAGAAATGGAGTCTCGAAAACTTTTCTGCCCAGCTGGCTTTGATCTAAGAATCTCCAGGTGTCATCCTCTGGAGTAGCCAAGATTACAGGTGTGGGTTATTAGCACCCAGCCCAGTTGAATGTCAATTGAATGAAGCAAGCTCTGAGTCGCCCCATTGAGGTCAAAGAGTGCTATCACACTGTCTAATAGGCATCCTATGTCCTTTCAGATTATCACCCTCATTTCCCAGATTCTCCCTGGCTGCAATGTATACTGAATACTTCATGTGTACAAGGTTTTGGCTGTGCTAGTACACACATTCCATCCTTCCACCAGGTGAATATCCTCTCTGATATTCTCACAATATCTTAAGTAAGCGTTAAGGGTATTTTCCCATTCAAGGTGTAAGTCTTTCAACTCAGACACACCTTGAGAGACTCTGGATCTTTCTCACCACTCCCACAACCCTTGTGCCTCTCTTTAAAATGGAAGCCCTCTCACATCTGAGGAGTTTACAGTTTCCTAAGGTCCAACACTGCCTCAGTCAGGTAAATTACACAAAACCATCTTTAAACTATGTCCTTCATTTCCTAACACTTTTTCATTAGTTCTTTCTGCCTTAAGAGTGTGTACCACTATTTTGACAGTTGCATCTGGACTTTATTATTGCATGATCAGTTGCTGGGTTTTATTTTTTCTTGGTAAATTGATATTTAGGGAAGGAATGAATCTGTGAACACGGAAGTCTAGTTTATTATGACTTAAGTCTGCATTCTTGAAGAAATCAGCACCATATACTTACTGTGTTTTACTTTCATAAAATATAGAGCAAAACAGGTTAAAAATTTATATTTGACTCTATCACTCTTTTCTATTTCTCCATTCTGTATGTTTTACTGCACATTTTTCTCTATTCTAGGTTGCCATGAAGCAGGTCTTAAAATATGATGGGAATTTCCCCAATTTGCTTAATAAAACAATAATACTCTTACCCTTAAATGATGATGTGTTAACAATATAATTCATATGCTAACACCAGACTGGTAAATACAAGAAACATTTGAAAAATATTTTAAAATTCCATATAAATCTTCAAATTATCCTGGTGAGCATACTCTGTTATAAATTCTGTGTTTTCAGTCACACCCAGTCCTCCAGTTCTTAAAACACTGACTTTCCCCTTCACTTCATAACTGAGGTATGGCCTGGATGTGTGTATTGCTCAGTTTTTACCAGTGACTTTGAGGTATCTTTTTTCCTCTTTCAAAGCCTCATCATAGCAGGAATGGAAGGTACTGGGGAGTGTATGATTGATTCGGGCCCAAAACTCTAGTATTTTCATCTTGGTAGTTTCAGTGTGGGCTCTTGGGCCCCACAGGAACTCATAGTGAGGAGGATCACTGTTTGGCACCTCCCGGTACTCCAGGTATTTAAGCTTCACAAAATCTTCGGTGATGAGCTTCCTTGGCTCCCCAAAAAGAAAGTGTTTCTTCCCATCATAGATTTTCATCTTATTCAGGAATTCCCAGATCTTCTCCTCACTGGCACAGTTGCCTTTTAGGAATATCACGCCCAGGATATTCATCAGGAGACCTGTTTTGGGATAACCTTTACCAGCATTCACTCTGCCATCATTAGGGAGTTTCATTTTGTTGACAATGACATAGGAATGGTTGGTGGTAATATTTTCCTGTAAATCAATACCAAATACGACCTCCATGTTGAACGCAGCTCTTCTAAGGATCTCCTGGAAGTGTTTCTTATACTTTTTGTTGACAATCTTCAGCATATCTTCTTTCATAATGGGCTTTTTCATTATATACTTATCCATCATAAACTCCACCAACACCTGAGCTATGTTATTTAGAACATCTCCATTAGAATTCTTGGTGGGTGCAAGAGGAGATTGTTTTTCCTTAGTTTGGCATGTGGTTTTTTTCTGTGATCTTGTGGAAGAATCATCTTCAGGGACAGTGGTAGAAAGGGCTTTCTCAAGTGTATCAAAAACAATTTGTGGCGTACAGGCAGACTTTGAGCGAGTAATCATCCCCCATTGAGGAAGGGGGGATGTGCTTCTAGTTGGCTCAGGACTCTGCAATTCTTGGGTCTTCTTTGAGGCCTGGCAGCATTTTTCATGACTTCTGCGATTACTTCTCTGAGCCCGAGGCATGGTGCCTGCGGTGAGGGACACAGCAAGCAAAAGCGAGGGCTCAAGAGTTGGCAAGGAACAAACCTGGAGGGGAGAGAGTGAGAGAATAGAAGCACTTCTAGCAGGTAGACACCTTCTGATTTTAAGAAATCTGCCCCTGCAGGTTACTCTAAGATCTCTGCTCTATGAACTTGCTAGGCTCCTGTTCTGGTCAGCCTGTTTCCTGAGAACCCTTTGGAAATAATTAAAATGTATTGTAGAGGCTGCAGTCTACCACCCCTTTGTGGTGTGCACTAGTAATGAGGATGTGGTGGCAAATCTAATTCCTGTGGGTCCCCCTGTGCTCTGGGTTAGATGCACCTCCTAGTTTACACTCAGGACTATCATATCAACTGTTCGTACTGTCTGGGACCCTCCCAACAATGTATGACCCAGGCACTACTAACAGCTATGCTACATGAATTTTGACACCTCCAAACAATGTCCCTATTTCCCTAGAGCAATCTAAAGTGAAAGGGCAGCTCAACACACCATCTTTGCTAAGACTCATTCAGTTCTAAGAGTTTGTGAAGATCTCCTCTGAAATATGTAGGCTAAGGTCCTTAGTTGTCCTTCAGGGTCCTCACTCGTGCCTCCTCTTATATGAAGGCCTAGAGCAAAATAATGCTACCAAAGAGAAGAGAGAGTTCCCATATTCGTCACCTCCATGTGTGGTTCACTCCTCAGGGCTACATGTAGCTATGGAGGGAGGCATCCTAAGCCTTGTTTTGGTGGGGGAGGGAGAAGGGAAGTGGTAGTAACTATCATCATTTAGGAACATTCATTTTGAGTTCTGGGAGACTCTAGGTCTTCTCTGCAAAACTGGGACATACAGTAAGTCCAACCTGTTTTTGACTCTCCCGATAGAAAAAGAACAAGATGGCTTGGCAGCTTTTTCGGGAGATTTCCAAGGAACTAACCGAATGTGTGAGAACACAGGCCTTAGAGTCCGTTCCCCTTGTTTGTCACTCAGGTCTGCGATATGACAGTCAGACTAACCACTGATGTCGCTTAAAAGACTTGCTGAGTTGGGCGCTGGCTGCTTGGGCATGTAATCTTAGCTACTCAGGAGGCTGAGATCTGAGGATGGCCGTTGGAAGCTAGCCCGAGCTGACCGCCAATAAGCTACTCAGAAAAAGTGGTGCTGTGGCTCAAGTGGCCGAGTGCTAGCTTTGAGTACAGTGAGGCTCAGGGACAGCGCCCAGGTCTTGAATAGAAGCCACAGGACACACACACACACACACCTTCAGAAATAAGTACGGGAATCCGGCTTTATGTTTGTTTTGATGCCTGGATTGGGGAGTAATACCCTCATAACAATTTAGTGGTTTCAATTTAACTCCAACGAGTGCTCTGACCTGCTCCACGGACAGAATCTAGAATCCTCCATTATACTGACTCTGTCTCTGTCTCTGTTTCTCCCTCTGTCTCTGCCCCCCCCAGGTCCCCCCCCTCTCTCTCCTGGGAATTCCTCATGTGTGTTTTCACCGAGATTACTAGGGGGCCATCAGATAGGGGTAGAACTTACTGGAGACCTTTGATTAACTTACCTCCAATTGAGGGCCCTCACCTAGAATCCAGAACAGTCTTGAGTATTCACGAATCAATTCGTTACGTGCTGCGTCACGTCGCGCCCAACGGCACCACGGCACGTATGTCGCAGGAATTCACAATGTCAGATGACGTGTCGCGCCACGGTTCAGGGATTCATGACTTCTCGGATGACATGTACATAGCAAGAAGTCATGATCAGTCTCTCAGATGCTGTGTTGTCTTGGGCCACATTGTGCTGCTAGGACACAAATCTCGGCCTTCGTCCCAGAGGAAGTGAAGATGGAGCACATCCGGATAAAGGCTATCTGGGGTCTCTGAGGCTGACAGTAGGGGGCGATAGCGATATCTTAAAAGACACCCCCCCCCATCTCTGTTTTTTCTTTTTTCTTTTTTTTTATTTGGTCGTGGGGCTTGAACTCTGGGCCTGGGCGCTGTCCCTCAGCTCTTCAGCTCAAGGCTAGTGCTCTACCACTTGAGCCACAGCGCCACTTGAGCCACAGCGCCACTTCCCCCCATCTCTGTTTTTGAGCCACTGTCTTGTGAAACTTTGATACCTAACAGAGCACAGAACGCTGAGCACAGGATTTCTCCCTATACTGAAAAGAGTTATATAATATCCAAACCAAGGCTATGCCTATACCTAGGTCAAGCTCATCAGAAGAGACTTAGAGGTTCCACAAACAACTTACTGACAACAGGATGCTGACCTTAGGTCTTCAGATCTACTCATGGAATCTATCTTCATCTAGTCGGAATTTTTTCTTCTAAGATGTCTCCTCTGTAAAACTAAAGTCCCACCTAGGGACCTTACTAGGACTCTGCTTTCTGGGATCTTTCAGAAAGAAATGAGGTACACCTCAGTCTAAATGACTCTGTCCACTGCCTCAAAACCAGTGGGGTCCTGTAGATCCTGGTAGTACTCCCTCTACTACATATAATCACTTTCTGGGGCCTAAAAGGCCTGGCATCTATGGCCAGGCTTTTGTGCTTCTCTTTTCTTGGGAAGTAGTTATCTGAGTGGAACTGCATGTCCTCACCTTAACTCCAGTTAGAGCCAAGACTCCTCATGTTGAAGAACAAGGTCACTATTAGATAAGGCCTTCCCCTCCTGGAGACTTCCCAGGAGGAAATAAGGAGCTGTTCAGCCTCGTAGTTCTGCCTGAGGTACCCCAGAGTTAAAGACAGAATCTGGAACCATGTGGGTTTATCCATCTCTTATTTCTGTCAAAAAAAAAAAAAAACCTCTTCTTGCTCCAGGCCTGACCTAGGACTCCATTCTCCCTGACAAGGAATCAGAGCATATAAGAATCTTCTCTTCCTGAGATCTCTAAGTGGAAAGTGTGTGTGGGGGGACCACATTAGATTAGAGGTATCTTGGTTATGAGAAAGCTAACAACAGAGTCATAATTGTACGCGACACACTATATTTTTTCCTAAAGTACTGAGGTTTGAATTGAGTCCTTTCTACTCACTCAGCTTGCTTGCTAGGCTGGTGCTCTTGTACTTGATCCACACTCACATCCAACTTTTTACTGTTTATTTTGGGGAAGGAATCTTGTGAACTTTTCTGTGGGCTAGCTTTGACCTGGGATCCTCCATATATCTTCTGCCCCTTTATTAAATATAAATTATGGTAATGAGTCACTGGCACCTGCCAAGACATCATTGTTCATGGGGGGGGGGGTGTGCGCGTGCGCGTGCATGTGTGCACGTATATACATGTCCAGTCCTGGGTCTTGAACTCAGGGTCTAGGTGCTGTCCCTGAGCTTTTGTGCTCTATGTTGGTGCTCTACCACTTGAGCCACAACTCTACTTCCAGCTTTTTGGTGATATTGGAGATGACTCTCATGGAATTTACTGCCTGGGCTAGCTTCAGACCAAGATCCTTAGATCTCAGTTTCCTAAGTAGCTAGATTACAGGCATGAGCTACTGGTGCCTGACTGGCACCATTATGTTCAAATAGTCCTCATTTGGAGTCCTCTTTTTATCTTCTCTTGGCTCAACTAAGGTTACCTCCCTTAGGCTAGTGTTCTCACATGGTATGAAGGAAGGATGTCTACAGTGTTGGTACTTCTTAGAGCATTCTAGGTCTGAGATCTGGCCATTTGTTATGGGATGGGGGTCTCTAAATAATTTATTCAGAGAAGACTCAATTATCTTGCATTAAGTGTTTCTTGAGAATGTCATATCTTGGCAAAAACTGTTCCTTCTCAACTTTGCAGGTATTTGTCCCAGGCCTGATGTGAGATGGGGCTGCTGCCATGCAAGGCATGCTGAGTTCTCAGAGAAAAATGATGCTGATGTATTCTTCATTCCAATAACCAGTATTGAATGTAAGTATCTCTTAATATGTCTCTATTAATTGGTTCACTTCCTTTATGCAAAGTTGTTTTTCTAGGTGGCTGTGTGATCTCTAAATTTGGATTCTTTTTCATTGCACACTTGCTTGGACATATTATCCATGTGTATTTGTCTGTTTGCTTTTTTGTTTGTAATATTCACTTATTGTAGCATTTTTTCATTGCTATGGCTAAGAAGCCCAATCCAGTCTTTGGTATAGAATCATTTTTACTGCTTTAGGACACCCTAAGAGGAAGTGATGGGATGCTGGCTTTTTTAAAATTAATATTGTTTTATGATACTGTAATATACACTGAGAATTCCCTAAGAAAGTGAATGCTTTGCATAGAATTGAAAAGCAAAGGGAATTAAGAGACAAAGGGTCTGCCAAGGCAGAGAAGACTGAAAATCACATTGTGAGCTATAGAACAATTCAGACCAGAGCCTAGTCCTAGCTGTCTGCTGTGAATTACTTCATATTATCAAATTCAAAGACAAAGAAATTTCAACTAAACAAAATTTTTCTAAAGCAAGAAAAATTATATGCAATGTATCCCCATTAGAAGATGCTGCCCAACATAGTTACGTGATCTCTAAATTTGGATTATTTGTCATTCCATATCTGCTCAGTCATATTATCAATGTATGTTAGTTTGTTTTCTTATTTACTTGTAACCTTCACTTATTGTACCATTTTTCCATAGTGTTAGCTAAGCAGTCTAATCTAATATTTAGGTACAGAATCCATTTTAGTGCTTTAGGTGCATGCTGGCTTTTTATTAATATTGTTAATGATATCATATTGGACACTAAAAATTCCCTACGAGACTGAGTACTTTGAAGAGTATTGAGAAAAAAAGTGAATTAAGGGACACCAGATCAGCTCAAGGCCGAGAGGACTGGAAAGCAGTGTGAGCTATAGAACAATTCAGACTGGGAGCCTAGTTTCAGTTATTTTATTAATGTATAGTAATTGTAGAATATAATGGGCTGAATGATGTTTTCTTTATCTCATTCCTTAATAGGCTCTCAGGCTGATTCTATGACTAGTCTATAGTGAATAATGCTACAATAAACATGGATGTA